AGTATCATAGATGACTGCTCCTCTACCCAATTTGTGTGCTTTCTGCTAGTCAAATAGACACAAAGATACTGAGGGGGGAGGAAGAGGAGGGAGAAAGGGGATATGAACAGTATTTCTGATTAAATAAATTCCTATCCTGGGTGTTGATCTGACTATAATTTGATTTTATTAAAAAATGTTTATTATTTTTACATCCAGTGTTTTCTAAGAGAAACGGAAATGGTATGCACTTAGATCTTATTTGGGGGGTTTTTGCAACACTGGAAAAAAAGAATATTGTTCCCTCATCAAGTTCCTTGAGCGTCTTCCATGTTTTCACACTTCTGGGTGCACCAGCCTCACTGGAAGACTCATATAATGCTGCTTACAACGTGCTCGTGTGTCGTCGTCGTCCGCCCCCCCCGACTACGGATTGAAATAAATCAGATCAAAATGAGCCCCAACTGAGGGCAAACTGTTTTGTAAACGTCTCAACCTACCTCCAGCCTCAGCCCTACAGATCTCTGCAGCTGAACAGAGATTTTGGCTTGTTGGCAAGCTCAGCAGACTCTTGCCAGGGAAGCAGAAAGAGAGCTAAACTATATTCCCACTGCAAACATTATCTAATTGATCCAGATGTCAGTGCAAAGAGTATGACTTACCTTTGTTTGTCCATGAAATAGGGAGACAGGGTCATGAGGGAGGGAAGGGCGAATGGCTCCTTGCTCCTGTGATGAATACCGTCACAGCTGGTAGATGCTGCTTTGATTTCGCTGTGCAAGTATGACTTACAGGGGCAGTGCTGCCCTATCCATCAACCGGCAAGGCCGGGATCATGTGGGGATGAGTGTACAGGCTTGGAGTGGAGCACTGCCCTCAAGGAACATGAGTGGAGTTGTGCCTGCCCTGGGGCACAGGTTTCTCTGTCTCACATCCGATGACAGGACAACTCAAAAAGCAGGTAGGTAGGTCTAACAGAGGAATGCAAGCTTAAGCAGCTACGCTGTATGCACGGATCGTAGAAATCTGACACTGGAAACAAAGGGATACAGGTGAAATCTAAACCCTGTAGGGTTTGTGAACTTTGGAACATGCAGCAGTCCTCAGGTAAGGCGAGAGCAAACCTTGTGCCACTCCGTAGGAGGATGGAAGTGATGCGGCTATTTAAGGCGCTTCAGCCAAGTATCACTCCCATGCAAGTTAAGAGAATTGCTTGGATTTAGGATTTGATTAGAGAGGTCCAAAGCAAAGCAATATAATCTATGGAAAACAAACAAATCTTGACCAACTAATTTTATGCTTTTAATGAAATTATAAATTTGATTGACCACTGCAAGAATTTTGATGCTACAAAATTTGCCCTCAATAAAAATATTTAACACTGTGCTCACAAAATCCTAATAACACAGGGGAGTAACGTAAAATGATACACATCACATGGAGATGAAACACTGAAGAGCCAGACACCTGCAGGAGAGATGCAAGAGGAACAAACTGGATTTCTACTCTCATTCTCTCTCTCTGTTGACTACAGATGAACCCTAGGAAATCAGCTTGCTGTGTTTGTGAATATTCTGAGATCGTAAGATACAATTATGCATTACACATTATGCAAATATGAAGTCACACCTGATAGACACTCAACTGAGGAGTTGCTACGCTGAGGAGCGGGGATCCTGAAGGACCGCTCCAGTGAACATGCAAGCCAACACAAACTACCCAGTGCGACATGCTGGCCAGGAGCATCAACCCGCTTCCTTAATGCATACAGAAGGGAGTACTAAGTAGGAGTTCAAGAAGTCATCATACCTCCCCAGGTGTGCTCAAATGCCAGATCTGGTCTGGCATTCAGAAACAGCAAATCAGAAATAGTTGAGAGCGCACTACAAGAATTGCACACGTAACAAGAACATACAAGCAGTGAAGGCAGGATCTTAATTAGAAGGATATTTCAAAAATCAAGATGGGCTTTCTGTTTCCTGAAAGATGCACTCTACACAGCTGCAACCTGAAAAAGGAAACAGCCCTATTACAATACAAGTCCAGGAGTTGGTCCGAGTAGGTGGGCTACCAGCTTCAGGGTCATGCTGGATGATAAAGTGGTAGGGAAGACCCATGCAGAACTCTTGCACAACTTTTCATGCAACTGCACACTTGGTTTCTTTCTGGTTCTTGTTGCAGGAAGAGCAAATTGTACTTAAAAATCTCATAACGGCTCATGGCCACCACTGGGCTGGGGGACTCCAACCTGAAAGGAATGCCATTGACTTCTGAAAAACGTGGATAATTTTCTTGGAGGACTGAACAATAACACCACAGTATCCTCGTGCTTGCACTGGTACCAGGGAAAGCACAGGCATCAAAAGTAAACACATCCTTAGCAAAAATATTTTAAACCATTGACTTTATTAAAATACTTAATACACAGTCTGTAGAGGAATGTACTTACATTTTCTGGAAACTCCACTAAAACCAAATTCTAGTTATATATTTAACAAATGACAAAACAGTGGATGAATTCATGCTGTACATCAAAGAACAGACAACTTCGGGTTTTTTTTATCAGCACTATTTTCCTGGCACAGACTCTTCGTTGCTTCTTAGCTTCAATCTCTTGAATATCTAGTAGCAGAGAAAGGAGGTTTGCATTTCTCACAGCATTAAACCTATCTGGGTCAAGTGAAATTCCATTTGTTTTCATCAGGTTCTTCATTTAACCCTTCCCTGGTACCTTCCTTTTCCAGGAAAGCAAAGGCGATTGACCTCTCTAAAAAGCTGCAGGCCATAGTGCAAGAAGAGTTCGACAATCAAATGTTGAACATGGAGGTCTAAACCTTCTCAGAGTCATTACTCTTTCAAGATACCCACTTCAAGCTGAGCGTGGAAAAAAAGACACTGTCAAAATACAAGGGCCACAACACATTCATGGATGTGGTGGAAGACAGCCTGCGGTGCTGCAGGTCTGAAGTAGAAGGTAAACCAAAAGCCAGGTCTTGTTGAAATACAAGATGCAAGGGCTGGGAAGGAGAAAGATGGAAATAACCTGGATACATCCGTACAAGAATGAAACGTCCTAACCTCATGGAGAAGGCTGTAATCATCACAGAAATTGCAATTGCCATAGAACCATGAAGATCAGTGACAAAGTGTATTTTATGACAATCTCAATGACAAGTATAATCTGGGGGAAATTATTTATACTGAGTGAAGAAATAATTTACTGTGTGTTTCAATGCAAGATGCACAGAGGCTGCATAGGTTTTCACATCAAATTCATAAGGCTCTTTTTAGGAGATAATTTTGCAACCTTGCATAGGTGATATTATATCTTTTCTATAGATAATACGCAGAAACTATGTACAGTTGAAAAAAAGAACTTTGATGAACGCATTTTTTCCCCTCAAGTTTTACCAGAGTATAAAAAGTAACTCATATAACTCCTTCAGTTCTCTAAAACACATATGGAATATCCCAGAAAGAGACACCAGGAACGCCATCTAAACGATGCTGTGTGCATTTGTACAACAGGTTGAAACAACTAGAGAAGCCACCACAAAGCATAATCGTGAAGTTTCCATATAGAAAAAAAAATAAAATGCAGAAGTTAATTTTGCTTATGAACATTAAAACTCATTTAAACAGAAATGCATTTTAGTTATAACAAATTAATGAGCTTCACTAGTCAGATTGCTGAATGAATGGTTGACTCACACACTAAGTAAACTATAGAAAGAGCCAATTCAATCCCTGCTTGATAAATGTACAGTAAACTTTAAAATCTGCATTTGGTGTCCAATTAATCCCAGCTCAGAACAACTCCTCCCTTAGACAACCAGAATGCAGCTTCTCAAAACCAGTATTATGAACATGTGCCAGTTGCGCTGCAACAAGAGCCATCAGGGCATTCATGCGCTTCTTCATTTGGTATGAAAGAAAGTCAGCCAGTGGATGAGCACGGTGCGGCAGGACAGCCAACCCCACCTTTGAGTGTACTGTTCCCTGGGACACTCATCCACGCCCCTAAGTGGCTTATTTTTGCCCTGCAATTGCCTAAATCAGGAGACTTTCTGCCTGATGTGGTGTTCTCCCACTGAAACTACCTTCTCTTCGACACAGGAGTTGCCTGGCATTTCTTTTGCTGTTTTGTGCCTGGATCTAAGACATCATGATTAGCACTGCTTATTACTCTTGCATATCACAGTGATGTGTACTTTTTAGTAATATTTACAATGGTATCACTGTGGAGAACTAAGCCCTGTACTAGAAACAGTCTCTTAACAGAGACTTTAATACTAAGGATTTGGTGTATTCCTTATCTACAGATAAACTTAAAAAGGCAAAGCTAAAATCAGCGCGCAATTGGTGTGTTGGGTTTGAACAGGAGGAAAAACCAAACACTCAGCATGTTTCCTTTCAAAGGGATGCTATTTACAAGAAGGATTCACTTTTTTAATATTTCAACAACAAAAACTCAGCTAATTTTGAAATTAGTGAAATCTAAGGCGGCTTAGTTTTTAACCAACACAGAGCACAAACAACATTGCTGTTTGCTGTTAAACACGTCTCAGAAATGCAGGGAAACTATGATCAATTATACTATGGGTGACAAATCGCAACCAGTTGAACAACAATAATAAAAAAACACTTCTGCTTTTTTTAAACATAGCCTCTAAAAAGTACAGCATCCCAATTTTTTCTCAGTTCCAGATTGCTGACATTATAAATTAAAGGTGAAGAGAGATCCGTATATAAACAAGGCAGCTCTTGACTTCATTGTACTGTTCTTGTCTAAACCTTTGGAAATTTCATCTTCAAATACCATAAGGTAAGGTTGAATTTATCAGTTACAAAACAATGTCCGTTCGTATGTGGAATTTGAAAAAAAACAAAAGAAAACAAGCCAAACTCAAAAAAACACACCCAAGTATTTACAGCAATTCAAACTTCTTTTTTTCCAGCCTTCACACTTGCGTTTCACCTTCTGCAGAACTGTAAACACGCTATCCGCTGAGACCAAGGCCCTATGTTATGGTACGTGGCCTTTTGGGCGGTGGGGGCGGCATGAGTTCAGTGTCAGGATCGAGGTGGTGTTTCCGCATCTGTCCTTGAGAAGCTGCTGTACATCTGTCAATGAACTCAAACAGCATCTCCTTCGTCACTGGATTCTGGATGCTGTTGCATACAGCTGGGAACAAAAACATATTCTCAAGTTAATAAACCCATTTGTTGTATTTGGCACTTCAGTAATTTCATCCCTTCTTTGCAAAATAAATAACATAATTTTGCTCAAGTATACAGCCTTAAACGCGGACTTTCACAAGATGGTTGTGTCAGGAGTCAAGTGTCACTGCTTTGCTCCCCCAGAGAGCAAAGCAGTACAGTGGGCCCTTACCTCATGGGAATCTGTCTTTTTAAAACAAACAAACGCCACGTGTGTGTGGACTCTAAAACCACCAAGAACTGACATCCTATTGAGGCAAGCAACAGCAACGCAGGCCTTGTGAGACGTGGCTTTACAACACTCATCAAATCCAAATAGCTAGAAACAAGACTGGTCTAATATTGAAAACCTCTGAATTAAGGTAATGTTTTTTTTCACCACTAAGTACTATAAATACCATAAACCCACAACGCACAGTACTTTTATTTTAACCCATATAACTTCACGTGGCAGAAAGATTTAACACCAAGCAAACTACATGTCAAGCACACTGGACCGTATGATGGAGGAAAGGCCGCAGTGCTGCATGGTGGCCAAGGCACGCATGTACAAGCACACTTGGACTCCTCAACATGACTCCCCAGGTCCTAGTTTGTAAGTAATGGCCCACAGGGTTTTATGGAACAAATAAATATTTTTAATACTTTTCCTATGTAAATTTATACTCCTCCAGTTAATTCCCCCAAGAGACTTAGGGAGGAGGGAAAAAGTAAAAAGTAAGAAATTAAGTAGGAATCCTATGACTATCTTGGAAGAAACCACAAAATGATTAGAACATAATTTATAGCATGTAAGGATTGGTGACAGTATGGATGCTATTTCCATGCAAAATAATCTATTGACCCCCTAGAGTACTAAACATTAAGACTCCTTTAAAATGTACTTGCAATATAGCATTGTTACAAATAATAACGACTCTTAAAAACACTCCTTTCTTTCCTGCAGAATTCCAGAAACATTCAAAACATTACATTAAAATTAATAAAACACCCTGCTAGAATTATTTTTTTATCATCTCATTTATTTTTGGTGCAAAGGTGCTTTAAAAGTTGTACCGTATGTGACTTTAGCAGTTGGAAAGCATTCTGATCGTCAGTAGTTTAGGAACAGAATTTGTGCCACAAGGCAGCTGGTATAACTCAGTATCAATTTTTAAGGGCTGTCCTTGCTTAATCACTCAAAAAGCCCTTCTCTTTTCAATTTGGAAGGCATGGAAGTCCAAAAGCGAGATGGAGACACGTACTTATTTTGTTGTTATTTCAACCACGGGGAAAAAATAAATAGTATTTTTCACCAAGAGAAAACAAATAGAGGAGAAAGGATCTAGAGAAGGGGACAATGGATGTCTCAAATGAGAAAATACAACTTTTGGCGATTTTGAAAGATTATCAAAAAAAAATTTAAAGCCAAAAGAAAACTTTCTGTTCTGAAAATTTCCATAGAAAAATTGAAATATTTCTTACAAAATGGTTCTTCCTGTAGCATTTAATTTTCTTTTAATTTTTATTTTTAGGAAGTTCATTATGTTTTGGCAGGAAAAAAAAAGGACTAACATAACTGCTCTACAAATGGAGAAAATAAGAAGAGAAAAATGGTAGCTACATATGCTCTTAAGAATGAAGGAAAGAAGAATATGGTACTCCTCAAAGAAGAGAAAAGTCCAAGGAAAACTAACTAATGAAACAATAAGGTGAAACAGAGAAGAGAAACTTAAGTCATGGTCAGAAAGAGATGTCATATTTGTCTGACTTTTGTGGCCCATTCCTCTTTCCTGACAGGACTGCTCAGCAAGGATTTCAGCTACATTCAGTGCTGGTTCCCTAAGGTGCCAACAAATTTATTATCTCCTGGCAAAATGACCACATTTTGTTTATTCAAGAAAATCTACTCACTGCTCAGGTAGAAATACAAGTAGAACAGTTCAGAGAAAATCCTACATCATCTATGCATGCCCTAGTAAATAGCATGGTCTTAAATATGATTACACTTCATTTTGGCACTTAACAAAAGTCAGTATCAACATAACTATTGTTATTCAGCCTTGTACACTTTTATTCAAACTCTTACACTTCACCTGAAAGTAAAAAATATCATTTACTTTGCAATACTTGGCAAGATGTTTTTTGGTAGAAGAATGTAAACGTCTCACAATTCTGCAGGGATATACCCCCCGCCCCCTTCATTTGTTTCCCTCTTCATTGTTTGTATGACTATTGCAGAAACTGAAGATGACATTTCCCCCTGTTCATTTGTAGCCCATCTGCCAAATAATGGTTTTGGCGTTTCGAATAGAGGTGAAATTATAACGGATTTTTTGTTCAAGAAATTCAACTCCTAGTGTGCCAGTCTGCATGACACCCCAACAAGCCAACACAACGCTAGGAACTGATGTTAGTTAGTTAACTGCTGTTGCAATGCTATTGTAAATAAAAACTTTTCTGGGTCTCACTTAAAAGGCACGCCCTGCCATTTAAAGCCTCTTTGAGCAAGTGTTCGCAGTTCTACAAAGACTTAGCCACTTGCTTCTGCATTACCTGTTAAATACTGCATCAGAGTATTTGTTTAACTGACTTCATCAAATAACCCTGTAGCCAAAGGATTCATGCTATATAGAAGCTAAACATGACATAAGCATTTGCAAGATGAAATATTGCTATAATAAGTTAGAGTAGCCAGGACTCAAGCTACAAATGAGAACACAGAGCGCCTTTCCTCCTTAACCTAGAACAGAGTTAAAAAAAATAATATTTGAGCAAATAACTTTTAAAAAAATTAATATTTGAGCAATAAACTTTTAAAGCAAATTATTCTACTCACCCATGGCAGTGCTGTAGGCATTTGGAAAGCTTTTGTCTATTCTCTGTCTCATGAAGACCCAGCTGTTGTTCTCAAACTTGCACTCTATAATTTTATTGTCGTACTGTTTCAGTTCTTTTGTCACCTGTTTAAAAAAAAAAAATTGTTTGGGATAAACATATTTTAATTCACATTTTTTTCTTTCTTCTAGGGATAAATAGCAGAAAATCAAAAGCTGCCCTGCATTTTTCAGCAACATGCCTCCATCCTACACAGAAAAACTGCACAGACTACATCTCCATTATACATATGCTCAGCTACTCAACATTTTAAAAATACTTTTCAAATCTGCTGTCAATATACAGCAATTATATTATGCTAAAACATCAGCAGCTCTAACAGAGGGGGGAAAAAGTCACTTCTGGCCCAAATGCAAATAGGTTTCCATGGGAATAAACTGCTTCCAGTGTAAGTGCTACTGCCAGCCTAAGTGCACGAAATGTATTATCCATGTTTCATCAACCGTCTTTGTTGAAGGTCTCAAAGCCAAATGTCAGATTTCAATACCAAAAACAGCTCATGGAAAACCATTCCACTCTTTACCTTACTGAGGATTTTTCTTTTCTTCTTTTTCCTTCATTTGTCTTTAAAAATTAAGATTATAACTCCAAAATAATGTGGGATTTCAAATCACATATGTTCTAAATCTCCTTCAGGCCTCTCTTTATTGATTCATAGATTTGTCAGCAGCCAATATCCTGAGCTATTTGTCTTTCTATTTGGCAACGCTGTGTGGTTTGGAAATGTAGTTTATATGCATTGGACTTCCTAGTTGTTTTGGCTACTTCATCCTATGCATCCTAATCTATGATACAATGCAAAATTTTCAAGTAACCATGGTAACCTGAGAACCTTATCTAACGCTTTAACAATTTTACCCATATACTTCACTTTGTTCCAAAGGGCCTCTTCAGAAGCATAAAGCTGTATTTAACTGCTAGCTGTGTTTAGTTTGCTCCAGTTTACCAACAAAAAGCTGGACAAGGTAATATAACACTTCAGATTCAGGATCTTACGCATAAGCGCTCTCATAAAAAGGGACTGGTTATTGCAATTCATTAGCATAATTTTTCACCTCTGTTGTCTACTCGCTCCCGAGCAGTGACACAGGAATTTACTACTGTCAGAGGGATGCAGATTTGAAAAAGGCCATAACTGTCTCCAGACAGCTTAATAGCACATACCGTGGAAAAGCCCATGAACCTCTTTTCCATTAATTCCCAGATAAAAGCAATTAATTCACGAAAAGGTCCTGAGCACGGACCGAGTCCTCCTACACTGCATGGTACAGGATTTATCCTTAATTTGATAAGCAGAATCCTAACATTTTTCTTGGTATTTACCCTGAATACTTGTGTTCATTCCCAGATAGGGAGCCCTGGGATTTTACGTGCCAAGTGAACATTGCACTATAGGACAATTTCGTTAAATCTGCTTACAACTGAGGCCCGTCCTGCTGCAGGACTGACAGAGTCAGAGTCAGGTTTCCGTGCCTTCATCCCTTCCATCACCTACAAAGAGCTTTTTTGCTAAAATCATTTAATCCTTAAGTGAAGTTTGCATCTGCTGATGATCACTTAGATGAAATCAACCGATTGTCCAGACCAGCAATCTTTTCCTTTGCAGTACGCTCTGCACAGCATGTCACTTCTTTCCATCGGCATTGAAAAGCTATATACAGTCCAGATGTTTGACTGACACACATTTGTGGACGTATTTATGTTCCATTAGGTGTAGGCAGGAAAACACAACATCCTTTTCTAGCACTCTATGGATATGTAAACCCAGGAAGAAACTCTTGGCTGCGCTGTGCCTTGGGAAGGTATATTACTTTGAAAACAGCTGCCTAGTGGAAGCAGGGGCAGCAGGGGGTATGACTGTGTGTCTGATTCTCTGCCAAAGCAGGGAAATGTTAGAAGGATCACCTGCTAGAGAGAGAAACGTATAAAACTGCAGGCAATGACTTCAACTAACCAACCAGCTCATAAGGCTTTCTCATGGTTTATCATTCTTCTAGTGTTCAGATGCTCAGAATAGCAATAAATTAGATGGCAGCTTTATCTGACTGTGGCAATTAAGCAGTATTATTAACTATCTAGATACTTGCTTGGCCATTCATTAGCAATCTGGAAGACAGATCTTTCCACAAAATATGAACACCTGCCAAAGCACTGACATAAATGAATTTTCCCATTAGAAAACTGGTGATCATAGTCTTTTAACAACTGCAAGTTGTAGCAATTATTTTACAAAGGAAAAAATACAGCACCTACTCTTCCCTATACTTTGTTAAGTGACCTCAGTCTTTTAAATGCACCTATTGTAATACTAATGAACATTTTAGGAACTGTTGGGCTTTTGACCAAGACTACAAGTACTCTGAGTAAAACACACACTTCAGCACTCTTCTACTATTGCACCTAGCAGACTTCTAAAAAGGTGTTGTTTATGCACAGGATTGAACAAGCCCACAGCAATCCTTGTATCCATAATTCACACCTTACATCTACCTACCATTTGCATGCTACTTTGTGGTCTTTCAGCTTCAAAGCTGGACAGGGAAACTTTCAAATTTAACTGTCTTGAATTTCCTTCCTTTTGGGAACTCATTCTGAGCTGCTCAAAGCAGTGTCTTCTCAGTTCTCCCTTTGCGGTATGGGGTTCATCCCTCCTTATCCCCCTTAAGTATTACAGTTCATAGGAGTATCTGAATAATGCACCATCATCTCTCTTCCTGAGAGGTACTTCTTCTGGTGCTTCACAGAAACGGGAGAAGTGCCTTTGGAAAGCAGTTCTCAGCCGAAATGCTTGTCCTCAGCAGCAGCAATGCTTTTGGTACAGTGCCAATGCTTCTGCCATACTGTTGATACAACGCCTTAAATCAGCATTCAGCAATTTCAAGACAGAAACTCCCATCGCACTAAGGACTCCATGGAGCCTCCCTTAATTAAATATTTATTCCCTAGCCTATTTTTGGACAGCCAGTCAGAATTAGAAGCCCAGAGGATCACATCTCGGGCAAGGGGCTGTCAGAGGTGGTGTGCATCAGAATGGTGTCTCTGGTCTGGGCCACAACTGTGTTCTGGGCAAGAATGAACACCAACCTGTCCACTACTTGCCTTTCAAGATGCTGGAAATTGTTCCTCAGCAGAAGCATTTGCTGTTCCTGACTGCATAGTTATCAGGAACCAGCCTACATGCCCAACAGAAATCACTTCCCAAAAATATAAAGGAGCTTCCTCTTGGAAGGAAGCTAGGTTGCAAGATGTGATTGGAAAAAAGAGGGGAAGAGCTGCATCCCCATTTCAGCAATAGGTCATTATCAAATCAGACTGGAAGTAATACAAGACCATTGCCTAAGAATGTTAGATTACATGAAGATGACAGCTCTTTTCCTCTCCCTGCTGAGAAAGGCTTCCCACTGCCATCATCATCTGGGCTATTTGCTAGGAAAAACTTTGGTGGGGTAAGTTTATTCCTTTTTCTAAGAATGATGACAGTTAAGGTTTAGGAATCCTTCCATTTTCCACTCTCCTTTCATCCCTTATGTTTTGAAAGAAATTCAAAATATATTAAAAAAAGTGAAATATCTAACCCATCTCAAATTATCTCGCCTGGCAGAATAATGGAGCCATTTTGAGGTGAATCACAACAGTGTGTTTATATGCAGCCACATTTTATGTTAATTTAGAGCAAAATGTGAAAAAAACCAATATATCCAGCTAAAAAAGAGGAGAAACCATCTACATTGAATGCAGCTAGCTCTAGTCCTATGAACATGCTCACACTGCCTCTGCTGACTACCAGTGGCCAAAGCTTTGCTGCCTATCTCCACAGTGCACCTGATCATCAGACTGGTCCATCATTCCACCTGTTGGGTCATTCTTTCATTTACTTGAAGCATACATATTTTCTGTGAAGCCTTCACTCAAACATTAGTCTCATCACCCTTAATCCCAAAGGAGAATGAAGTTCCTGGGCAAGCTGCTACTTTATGTAAGAGGTATTAACAATGAAAACTTAGATTTTAAGGTAATTAAGTAAGTATTTTGGAAAGCATGTCTACAAGCTTAAACTTTACAAATGCATCTACCTTCCCCATATTCAAGTTCTTTAGAAAGAATAAAGGAGGTAAGCTTTTAGATAAATGGAGACTCAACTGAAAGAAGCTCTATGTTTCCATATGTGTATTTTTTTCAAAGCAATTGAAATTATTTTAGCTCAGTAAACAATCCCTTTTAAAGAAAGTGATGTTTGTAAGCAAAACCTTAACACATTCTCTTTCAAATCCTTTCTCTCTTTAAATGCCTTTTCGTTGCACTTTCCCCTCTATTACCAAACATTTAGAGAAGGAAAATCATTCTTCAGTTCACCTATTTCTATTGCTATTCCACGTCCCTAGTCATCAGCCTATTTCTAAGATTCCAGAAGAAATGATTGTACTAGTAGACGCAGAAAATGTTAACTTCCATGAGAAAACAAGTGAGCAAAAGCAGCAGTTGAAATCTTAGGAAATTAAAAAGATCTTTATTTCTAAATACAGAATTGAAAAAAGGAACCATAACACACAGGCAAGATAGATTCTAAATGTAATGGCTTTCTGTTTTCTAAGAAGAATCTGCCTTTTGTTTTTATGGCTGGGATGTGCAATGAAGGCATTCCTTTTTGATACGCTCAAGTACACAAACTGTTTGTTTTCTTTTTTTAAACACAAGTCCCAATGCCTGGAGGGGAGAAAAGTTTAGAGCTGCCATATAAGACCTGGAAAGTAATTCTTCCTCTCTCTGATATCATAACTAACTTTTCTCCATTAGGATCCATTCTCACAGCCAAAGCAAACAAGTGAAAGCAGCACATCCCAAAATAAATGATCAGCTGTGTGTTCATGAGGGATAAACCTTTTGGTTGCTTCCCAGTCTCCTACTGCAGGAAAACTGGAGCCCACACCTTCTCTAGCCATCCATCTTGCAAAAATTAAACGACATTTTTCTAAGAACTGTCCAAAAAATATGACATCTGCGAGCTCCTTGTCCTGACACTACTGGATACATTCAGCCACAAATGACAGTTTAGGAAATGAAACCT